CATACATATATAAATCTTATACCGCGTCTTATGAAAATTTGTTAATTTCTCAACGACGACCTAAGAATTTTATATCTCGGAGCTGAGGAAACATTTGAGAATCAGTGATTTCCAGAATTTCCCACCTTAATTTCCTCGTCGTGATTTTCTCCTTTCGATGAGTATTCCACGTATATAAATCTTACCGCGTACTATGAAAATTTGTTAACCCATCAACGATGACTTAAGTATTTTATATTTTGGAACTGAAGAAAAATTTCAGACCTGCGATTTTGGGGACTCTACATCCACAGCCAAGTGATTTCCCCCTTTCAATGGATCTAGAAATCCCATAATCCCACATACATTAGCACATTTCCCCTCTTTTCGTGGAATAAGTGGATTCAGAAAATTTGAAATCTGCGATTTTAGAAACTCTACATCCACAGCCAAGTGATTTCCCCCTTTCAATGGATCTAGAAATCCCATAATCCCACATACATAAGCACATTTCCCCTCTTTTCGTGGAACAAGTGGTTCGAAAAAATTTGAAATCTGCGATTTTAGAAACTCTACATCCACAGCCAAGAGATTTCCCCCTTTCAATGGATCTAGAGATCCCATAATCCCACATACATAAGCACATTTCCCCTCTTTTCGTGGAACAAGTGGTTCGAAAAAATTTGGGAACCCGCGACTTTCGATTCTCCACGCCCACAACCAAGTAATTCGCTCCTTTCGACGAGTACAGTCCCATTTCCGATCCCACATACATAAATACATTTTTTCCTCTTTTTGTGGAGCAACTGGTTTGAAAAAAATTCCGTAAAGAGCGTCCAAGTGCTCGCGAGCGTTTCATTCGAAATTGCCTTCCTCCAGCTTGTCACTTGCGGCTAACCGCAGGCACATCGTGACCAGGCTGCGTGCACACGCATCGTCAGCCAGAGACAGTTGAAAATTACCAGGTATCCCTTGGTCGAAACGCACCAGGGAAGCTAGACGACGCTGCTCCCCGGTTAATTAATTAAGCAAGTACCGCTGGCCTTGAGCATCCTTCGCTACCCTTTGCTACCATGGAACGAAGAAGAGTACGAAGGAGACAAGTACTCGTGAAATTTAACCAAGTGGAAATTCGTCCATTTGTGCGAATTTCCTGTCTGACGAAGACTCGTCGAGTAGATCGTAGGTTTCTTGTAGAACACTGTATTAGATCTTTTTTCGAAACGATCTTTCGAGACTTCGACGAACGTGAACACATTGCTAAATTGATTGGGTAGATTTATCATTTACAAGGAATAATATTTCATTCTTGTACAATGTTCTAAGGAATATTGTTGCATAATATCGTTAGATGTAATGGACCATAAATCGTTCAATTTCACATTATTACAATCGCGACCCTTTTTTACATTCTCTTTGGCAATGGTAGACCCTCTATTCAGCTGTGATTCGTTTTGCTGGGAATGCGTTTAAAATTGCGTTGCAGTGTTTTACCGAATTTTCAGAATTAGTATAGAATCTCCGAATTGTGGCATCATTAACTTGGTCCTTTCAAATGAAAAATCGTTCAATTCCTCAATCAATAAAATTCCCTTTGGCAATCTTAGACACATATTCAACTATAATTCGTTTGTTCGAGTGTTGCAAAGTGTACCAGAATTTTGAGAATAAACTGATAATCTTCCAATTGTAACATCCTTCCAAATAAAAACTCGTTCTATTTCACATTATTGGCACACTTCGGCAATTTTCGACCTCTATTCAGCTCTAATTTTGATACCGAGGCTGCAATCTTCCACTTGTAATACCATTTTATTAACTTCATCCTTCCAAATAAAAAATTCAATTTCACATTATTACCATTACGATTTTTCTACAATTCCCTTTAACAATCTTAGGCCTCTGTTCAACTCTACTCGTTCACTAGGCAATGTTACATCCACAGAATTTTGAGACGAACCCCACAACCTTCCAACAGCGACACAATGTCATCACCAAATTATCACCTTCATCTTCCCAAAAAAAATTCCAAAAAAACCCACAGCCTTTCGCCTTCCTCCCATCGTCCCGTTGCACCAAACGAAGATCATTGCCGTTCACCTCGCAAAAAATCATCACCTCGATATCCGCGAAGTAGGAAGACAGAGTTGCACCAGGAGTAATCGTAATTTTCGTAATACGCGATCGAGTTGCAGCAACGAAAGAGAGAGAGAGAGAGAGAGAGAGAAGGGCGAAGGGGAGCGAGGGCTGGCCGACCGGAAGCCACGGTTTGTTCAACCGTTGAACCTGCTCTCGTTTAATTCCGCTCACGGAGCGGCTTCGAGGCAAACCAGGGCTATTATATCGCTGCGCGGAGCGAGGATGACGTTACGTATCCCCGGGCTGTCCGCCTCGCGATCCACCGACTATCTTCTCTCCTACGTTCCCTCTTTCTCTCGTTTTCTGATTCCCTCATTATCTCCTCGGCCTCTTCCTTCCACACGTGACACCCAACGTTCACATCGTCCTCTGCTCTCTTTCACGCTACGAGGAGTTTCCTTTCGCCGGTTCAAACGGGACTGGGGAACTGAGTTAGGTCATGGTAGATTAACCTGCGGTGGACCTTGCTAATTTCCATCGGCAATACCGCGAAGATGCAAGTGTTCGTACCAGAAACATTTTTTTTTCTCCCCTTCAGTTTCTTTCCAATAATTAAGTGTCAGTACTTGTATCAATAACCGAGCACTCTTTTGCACATTCTCACTCGAAATATTTCGTCTTCGCATTTCCTATTCCTGTTTGCTTCAAGTTTGGAATTGTTATTTGGCACATTGCCTATCCCTGTTTGCTTCAAGTTCAGAATTTTGTTATGAGAAAAGTACGAAAATTGGACGATAAAGTGAACGACAATTGTGGTTATTGACACAGGGGTTAAAATGTACTTCAGAGGAGAATTGGTTGATAGGAAGCAACGTAAACAAAAGCAATGTAACGTTGCTTCTCTAAGTATAAGAAAAATATTGCGAATTATAATAGAAATTTAAACTGGCGTTTAAAAATGTGACTCGACATAGGAGTACCTGTGAATAAAATTGACGTCGAGTCACACTGGACAAAGCAGTGAAAAGGGTTAAGAAACCTCGTCTAATTTTTTTCACAATTTCTCCTAGCAAAAGTTGCTTCTATCCTAGAATTCTTCTCTCTCTCTCGTAGAATACAGAGCGTGTAATTAAACGTTAGCTGGTGATAGAATAGTGTACGGCTGTAAGGAAGGTAGAAAATATCGCTACAGGTACTAAGGGTATTCACGTGCAAGAATTTATGTTCAGAGATTGAATGAGAGTGAGATACATATAGTTACATGTATATCACACTTGGATCTAAGTAATAGAGTAGCTAGGCCTCTCTCGGTACAACCTATCTGAATACACTTGTTCTCTATGCACATTGAACTTCGAGGAAGTTCAGCTGTATATGGAATACACGTTCCATACCAGAAAAGAGAGCCTACTTGGCCAGCACTACACCTTGAATTACAACACAGACATCACTTGAAGTGCGGAACGGCAGTTCTGCGTGTGTCACAATGTTGCATAGAATCCTTGCTAACGCTCCTAACTTGGCTAAACGTTCAATTCGAGAGCGCAGAAGCTACAACTATTCTTCTCAACGTATCTGCACGCTTAAACTCTGCTTGAAGGAAGAAAAGAATCTACTGAATTCGTTCAACTCTCGTCAACACGTTCACTGCCAAGTCAGGTTTGCATGTGCTTTCAGGAGGCGAGGAAGAAAAGTTTCTTCATTGTGGGAATGATGGTGTAGATAGGCAGGAAGATAGAAGTGCGAATGAAGAGTATATCACGTGTGAATGTTTAGCTAAAAACCATAGCTGCATGAACGAAGAATATTTGGGTTCGAGAGATAGAGGTGTGAAAGAAGAGTGTTTGGAAGGAGAGTGCTAGAGTATCGGGTGAACGGAGAATGCTTGAGCAAGAATTCGAAGAATTTTTGGCTAGAGCGAAAAAAGTAGGGAGCTAGAGAAAGAAAGAACGCGAGGGTGTAAGGATGAATAAGGGTGAAAGAGGCGCGCGAGGATCAGTAAGAGAACAATCGATGAGAGAAAAGTCTGTGCGTAGAATATTTAAAATTTTTGAGAAATATTTAAAAATAAAATTTGATTAATCAATCGAGATCTTCAAAAGCTAATATCCCAGCACGTCCAGGGTATCTATTTTACTTTAATTATTCTAAAAATTTGAGGCACTCCGGTTCCCGATGAACCTATCGAGGATGAGCAACGTGTTAATTACCGAAACGCGGAAAAATCGCACAAGTAATCGCGATCACGTCGAAGGGGCATGTACCAGGGTAACAATAATAACACGCAATAAGCCTGGCAGCTTCCTGAATGGCACAGGTGCGTTTCCTAGATGCGGGATTATGACGAGGGGCGATGAAACGAATAAGGAGTCACTGCCAATAGGGAAACACTTGGCAACCATTTATAACGGCCAGTAAAACGCTTCGTTAAAGCATTGACCCCGGCCAGGGATCCTGTAAATTTAACGATTCCCGGACAAACTACGTTCTAACTGCGTCGTAACCGGTGCACGCCTGTTCCTGCCTCTATCACTTCCTATTCCACCATTCATGCTACCATCTCTGTGCTCGCGGTTCAAGCGTGGTCAGACCGCTGGCAAATTAATTCCCTCGGAAGGGATGTACATGTGCGTCGGTTGGTTAAATGGGATTTTTTGAAGGGGAAGTTCCTCTCCCCGAGGAAGCGTTTACGAGACGACAAAATTGCCCCAAGTGCCGGCAAAAAGTGGAGACTTAATGGCGGAACAGGTAAACGATTAGGGAAGGATTAGAGACTACGGGTGTTATAATGGTCAAATGGCAACGTGGCTAATTCGTAGATACGGAGAGAATTACGAGCGTTGGAATGGTAGGAAGTGTAACTTTTTTTTACAGGATAACTCTGGGAGACAAAATTATGCAAAGTTATTCGTCGTTTGGAATGGTAGAAAAATGGTACTCACGAGTTAGAGGTAGAGCGTGCCAACACGTCGAGGTGCCACCACGGTGACAGCAAGACGTGGTCCACATTTAGTCGGCGGTAGTGGTGCTGCTGTAGCGGGTGGTGGAGTTTCCGGTCTCGCGCAGCCGAGGCCACTTCCGCCGCGTAGCTCCCATACTAAATTCGTCAGGGAGCGTGGTCTGCTCAAACGCCGTGATCTGAGTGTTCAATGTGCAATTTAACGTCTATAGCGACCTAACTATCGATCTCAGCAGTTTCAAGATTAATCGAAAGATGAAACACGAAGTAAGAAAATATTTGTGTAAATTTCATACCTCTTTTCTGGTAGCTTAGCACCAGCACCAGAGTCCCCCGACGTTCTACCCCCTGAATGGCTCGAATCCAGCGTTCCATCTAGCTCCATAGCCTGCTGAAGGTTCGTCAAACTCTTGTATCTGATGTTGAAAAGCGGCGATCCACCCTTGTACCCAGGTGGCGTCTCTTTCAACGGCGACGCGCTCTTTTGCCTCATCAAAGGACGTCCTCTCTGCGTGCCACTGTTCTTCACGTACAGCTTCGCCAACGGCGGCTTCTCGACCCTGGGCTGCGGTGCCTCCTTCACAGCACGTCTCGTCCTCTTCTCGGCCTGTATCTTCTTCGTTGGAATGGTCTCGATGGGCGGTGGTTCCGGTCTGTCGTCGAGCAGAGGCGCGATCGTCACTGTGACAGGCGTCAGAGGTGGACTGGAGCCCTGTGCACCGGGTAGAGGGCTCTCGTAAGGCGACCTGACGCTCTTGGGCAACGGTGCGAAGCCGCGAACGTAATCGTAGATCTGATCGATCTCGTCGTACTCTTCTGTGCAAGCCGAAGGTGGAACGCGATTCTCGTCTCTGTATCCCGCGTGTCCGGAGGACGCCTGATGGCCGTTGCTGTGATAGTGATGATGGTGATGGTGGTGGCTGGCCGTGTTTCGATGGTAGCCGAGCGGTCCGTTGTCCGAGTTGGTCGAGGATCGCCTGAGGAAGCCCGAGCCGCTTCTAGTTTGCCTCGAGGGCTTGCTCTCGCCTAGGCGACCGTCTAGCACGTGTGCACGATCGGCTACGTCGGCAACCAGACGGGAAGCACGCTCCACGAGCCTCGTGAACTCTTGCATCGACCTGAGAGCTTCCTCGTTCCGCGCTTTCACCAGCTTCAACGGGGCGGCTAGAGGCAGAGCCACAGCTGCACCCTCTCTCTGCAACGGCAGCGCGAATACGTGCTCCTCCTCGAAAGTGGACAACAACCTGAGCTCAGGGACGAACTGAGACGAGGATTTCAGTCCTCTCGGTGGCTGACCGTGCACCAGTCTGACCGTCAATGGCAGACGTTTGCTGAGCAACGCTCTGGCTGTGTGCACGCCGCTGATGTTGTCCTCGCGAGCCAGTGCGCTGAAACGACCGCGTTGCTCCATTCCCAGCAGCACGCTCTCACCTCGACAGTCGACGCAGCGTAGAAATCTTCCACGACCCGGTAGACTGACTTCCCCCGCTGTTACTATTGTCTCTCCAGCTGCCAGAGTCCTCGTTCCCTCAGGGACCACTATGCCGGACTCGTCGTCCACTCTGCAAGCTATTCCACGGACGGTTTCTCGCACGAGAGCTCCCTCTTCGGGGCATCTTCGACAGAGTTCGTTCACGGACTCGATTCCACGCACAGCTCTGCCTTCCTCGCTTAGAATTTCGAAGTAACCGGCGTAGGAGTCGGGAATAGCTAGTCGAGGTCCTACGCCAACCACTCTACGCCCTTCTTTGATCTTCACCGCTTGAGCGACGATCTTTCGTCGACGTCCGGCGGATACGAGAAGGGCAGTACTCTGCAGACTGGGCGCAGGAAGCGTTGGTACACCCAGCCCGCCGTACTGACCCTTCGTGATCTTGATCACCGCTGGCAGACGATACTTGGAGACGAATTCACGCAGGTACGTCACTTCCTCGGCCCAGCGTGCCGCCGCAACGACGATCTGACCGTCAGTCGCGGCCATCGCGGCGCTACAACGCCGCCCAGCCTTCTAGCGAGAGGTCCCAGGACGGAGGGCCCGTTCAGGGCCCCGGCGGGCGATGATCGCTACTGACGCTCCTGCTGATCGGCCGCCGCGTCTCTATGCTCCATCTGGAATGCAGATCAGTGAAGGAACGTTAGTTTCGTTTCCTGGATCGGGGATCGTTTGTCTTATTGACTTAACGCCTTTGCCTTATGAATTTTTCATCGATACCTGTGATACCGTTTTCATACTCATGCGATACTGCTTTCATACCTATGATACTGTTTCCGTAGAATGTTAAACAAGACGAAGTCGAAATATAAAATGCAATTTATGCTTTGCAATCGTCAGATTTGAATTGAAGCTAAAGTTAGAGCTAAAGTGTAAAAATTCTTTCGTCACATCTTAGTCAATATCTGAGTGCGACTCGTGATTATAAGGCAAGGGGTTAACTATTCCATGACAGAATTATTTTTTTAAATTTGTAACTCATCGATTAACTTATAAATTGATCCAAGTGTCCAAGCTCTAGTCTTCAGATTAAACAGGATTAACCCCACACTTTTACACAATCCAATCTCTACCCTTCCACCTTCGTCTTCACCGTCCACAATCATCTCTGCACACGACGGTAACCGAACGAGAGCGATAATTGCCATCGCGAAGCGTTTCAATCGACCCATACCGGACCGCGATTTATATAATCCAGCCTGGGTTATCCGATATACACGTCGGAACGAAAGGTAACACGGAAGCATCGAGGGGTACTTCTGTCGGGTGCACGGCTGGTTCCCAAGCGTTACGACACCGCGGAATTTCCGTGCAGATCCATAGCAGAAATCGTGAAGCAATTCGTCCAGGGGAATCGGCTTTTAACGCGATGGTTCGATCGTTCGGTCACGATCGTTCCTCACACCACCTACATATATACGTACGGATACGCTCGCCTTCGTGAAATTCGAAATAATCGAAGGCACCGCCCCAGCTCTACGTACACCGCTCGTTAGGTAACCAGCCTTCGAGATACCGCGGCGCGTTAATCGTCGGTTACGACGATGATACGAGGAAGTAACGGGAAACTGGCCCACAGCTCGGGCCTGTTTCGTCGGTGAAGTTTAGGTCGATGGGACAGGCCGGTTTTTTCGATCGTTACCAATGTGAAGATTCACGTTTGGCAAGGTGTGGGTTGTAATTGATGTGTCGAGGATGTTTTCGGAAGACGTTAAGGCAGAGTCGAATTGGGGTCGTGTAGCGGAAGTAAGAGGATGACATTTTTTTAAGAAATTGATAGCTGTGGATCAAGTTTTCTTAGGAATTTTGGGCGTCTGTGTAGATATAGCTTGCTCATCTTCAATATAGGTGTACTTTATCTAATGACAAATATTTCCTTCCTGCGTTGAATCTTGTGAATAACATTAAATACCAATGTGTCACCTGTAATTTCTGTTCCTGCAAATTTGATTTAGACCTACTCCATCCAGCAACAGCTGCTTCTAGGTACTCAAATGATAAGAAATAACTTAGCAAATATCTCTTTCCTGTACTGAATCTCGTGACTAATTTTAGATGTCAATTTATCACCTTCAATTTCTATATATCTAACTTTCTGATCTTGCAAATTTGGTCTAGACCTATTTCATCCAATAATAGATACTTCCAGGTACTCAAACAATAAGGAACAACTTAGCAAGTATCTTTTTTCTCAATTAAGTATTCCTTCAATCTTAGATATTAATCTGTCATCTGCAATTTTTAGAATACCTAACTTGGTCCTCCTCAAATCTTCATCCAAACCTATTCCATCCAGCAACAACTACTTCTGGGTGCTCAAACAATTATTAATTTGAGAAATATCTTTTTTCTCAATCAAGTTTCTCCTCAATTCTGTCATCTTCAATTTGTACAATACTTAACATGGACCTCCTCGAACCTTTGTCTAAACCTATCCTATCCAACAACTACTTCCAGGTACTCAAGCAACCAAAATTAATTTGAGAAATATTTCTTTTCTCAATCCTATCATCTTCAATTTTTACAATACCTAACTTGGTTCTCCTCGAATCTTCATCCAAACCTATTCCATCCAACAACTAATTGCAGGTATTCAAACAACACTCAATCAAGTGTTCTTCTCAATCCTAGATACGAATATATCACCTGAGATTTTTGCAATACCTAACTGGGTCCTCCTCAAACCTTCACCTAAATTCATTCCAACCTCCCCGTTCGTTCCCCAGTCAAAGGAAACTCCACGAAACACCGAAGGAACCTGGAGTTGTGACTCATCCGCAGAGAGTTCCAAGACGGGCCACACGGAAGCGACGCATTCGATCCAGGCCCGGGTATCGTTGTAACGCGCTGGCAATTTATCGCCGTGGCCGTGTGAAAGGCCCATTCAGAGCTAAGGAGAGCGTACGTGGCCAGGGATCGGGGGGATAATGAAATCGCGCGGTGAAAATCGAGCCGTCTGAAAGGGGCCTTCTCAAGATGGCCCGTAGCCAGCTACAGATAAGCACGGGGTGACCAATGACCCGGGGCGTCGTGACAGGCGCGCCTCTAGGAAGTTATTCGACACACTCCTCTCTGTCCTGCATTCTCCTACACGAGACCATATATACATACACACATTCTCTCTCTCTCTCTCTCTTCTCTCGGAGATTCTTCGCCAACGAGAATCTCTCCTCTTCCACTCTCTCTCCATTTCTACACACATAAGCTTACACGGTGGATTTCTTAGCGAGAGAGTTGCCTCGATGCAAATTTGTATTGGCATTTTTTCCCGCCTCTCTCTTTCTCTCTCTCTCTCTCTGCTAAGGAAACGGTGCTTGCTTTGATCGAACGCAGGAAACCGTTAAGTTCCTTCGCCGGCGTGCGTGTTCCTGTGATAAGGCGATTACGCGATACGGGAACAGACGGATCGCATTGTATCTGATACACCAACCGATCCTCCTCTCTTTCGATGGGAGTGTACCGTTCATGCTGGAATCTACCCTTTTGAAGCCACGGAAGAGACATCTTTCTCAAGGATACCAACCGGAGGATCTCCGAGAGATCGAGGAAGCGTGATCCTCGCGTGTATATACCGTACCCTTTCTTTCGATTCTTGTCGATATTCTTGAATACTTATGTTTCCATCGTTTCTCTCTACACGTACCTGAACAAACCTATTGATAATGCTTTTTTTTCAACGATTCTACGATTCGAGGAGAGTTTTCGATGTATGGGAAGATAATCTCGTTTGTTGGAATGCGTGAACTCTGCGAGTTGGGGGGAAAAATGTGCAAAGTGTACGTGATCGTGGAATGGAAAGGAAAATCGTGATTAAATGCCTCGAATGTCGTAATTGTCTGGTGTAATGTGGCTGGCAGAAATGAGCGGGAAATTGCGAATTGTGAAGTTCGAAACTTGGGAGAATGTAAAGTGTTACCTCGCCTGTTGATGTTTCTCTAGTGATTCATCAATCATCGCGACGTAGGATCGTTTCGAAGAAGAATTGTAACGTTGAGTTCGATGTTTCGTTGTGAAATTACGCGATGAAATTTTGAAGTGACCGCGTGGAGAATTGTTAAGAAATGTTGATGTTTGACAGAGATCTGCGGGGTTTCGATGGTCAGCAACGATACTTATCACAGGCTGAATGGACGGGAGACGCCTACGAGCGGACAGACGGTGTCGCAAACTCGGAAACACGGCGTCTAATCGTAATGTTTTATTGTTACACGGCCCGAGGTGCGTGGCGAGGAATTAGTTCGCCAGTTTGTAGCCGTGGAACGGCATTCCCGTGTATTATGGAGGTCGAGTTGATCGCGTTTGTGTAGCCTGAATTTTAAAGTACACGGTGAACTCGAATAATCGAGTGTCCAGTTCGTTGCAGTGTGTTCTACTTAGAATGCGTAACCTCAAAATTATTCCGCATTCTTTGAACGTTGAATGAGATTAGAATCGCGGGAGCAATAGAATTCTGGTCACCCGCAAATTTCGATGTGTGCAATTTGAAAGCTTTGGGACCACCAAAGTTACAAATTTGGACGCTTTGAGAGTGCTAACGTTGCGAATTTCAACACGTGGAATTCAGAGCGCTTTGGGATCACTAAATTTGCAAATTTCAACGCGTGGAATTCGGGGCACTTTGGAATCACCAAGGTTGCAAATTTCAAAGCGTGGAATTCGGGGCGCTTTAAAATTACCAAGGTTGCAAATTTCAATGCTTGGAATTCGGGACGCTTTGGGATCACCAAGGTTACAAATTTCAAAACGTGGAATTCGGGGCACTTTGGGGTCACCATGGTTGCAAATTTCAACGCTTGAAATTCGGGGCGCTTTGGAATCACCAAGGTTGCAAATTTCAAAGCGTGAAATTCGGGGCGCTTTAAAATTACCAAGGTTGCAAATTTCAATGCTTGGAATTCGGGACGCTTTGGGATCACCAAGGTTGCAAATTTCAAAACGTGGAATTCGGGGCACTTTGGGGTCACCAAGGTTGCAAATTTCAACGCTTGAAATTCGGGGCGCTTTGGAATCACCAAGGTTGCAAATTTCAATGCCTGGAATTCGGGTCGCTTTGGAATCACCAAGGTTGCAAATTTCAACGTGTGAAATTCGGGGCATTTTGGAATCACCAAGGTTGCAAATTTCAACGCTTGAAATTCGGGGCGCTTTGGAATCACCAAGGTTGCAAATGTCAAAGCGTGGAATTCGGGGCGCTTTAGAATTACCAAGGTTGCAAATTTCAGTGCTTGGAATTCGGGACGCTTAGGGATCACCAAGGTTGCAAATTTCAGTGCTTGGAATTCGGGACGCTTAGGGATCACCAAGGTTGCAAATTTCAGTGCTTGGAATTCGGGACGCTTAGGGATCACCAAGGTTGCAAATTTCAGTGCTTGGAATTCGGGACGCTTAGGGATCACCAAGGTTGCAAATTTCAACGCTTGAAATTCGGGGCGCTTTGGAATCACCAAGGTTGCAAATTTCAATGCCTGGAATTCAGGGCACTTTGGGAT